CCTCAAATCTGTACCTACGGCCTGTCCAATGGCCGTGGGCCTCCAGGTCGCGTGCTTGGAACAGGCGCGCGGCCTAGGGGCCCTCAACAACCGTCGGGCCCGAAAATGGGCTCGTGTGTCAGGCTCAGCATGTAACACCCTGGTTTTCAGGCTTTCAGCCTGAGGGACGCAGGGCCTGGAAAATGGCCCTCGTGTGCAGGCGCAGCATGTAACAGTAGGCCTAAGGGGACGACGGTTCAGATGAGGCCCAGGTAGGCCAGGGGCACGGCGTTTTGGACAGGCCAGGGGTAAAGGCCCAGGCCAACGGCCACAAGGCCGGTACCGGTCCAGCATAGGACCTACCAGCGGCACAGTTCAGAGGCTGCCGCGTTTAGGCGCCAAGTCCAGTTCGAATCTGGACCGTTGATCAGATCAACGGTCCAGGCCGGTAGGTACCAGGAGGTAGGAGGCCGGCCCAGCACTACAAAAGGCTGGGTACCAGCCTCAGTAGAAAAGTTAGAAGTTTGTGAGGTTGGAGTTAGTCTTCAGGATTAGCGCAGCCTTGCAGCGTTAGTGAGATTAGCGCGAGCAGCGAGGATTAGCGCGAATCTGGACCGTTGATCAGATCAACGGTCCAGGCCGGTAGGTACCAGCAGGTAGGAGGCCGGCCCAGCACTACAAAACGCTGGGTACCAGCCTCAGTAGAAAAGTTAAAAGTTTGTGAGGTTGGAGTTAGTCTTCAGGATTAGCGCAGCCTTGCAGCGTTAGTGAGATTAGTGCGAGCAGCGAGGAGAAGACGAGCGCAGCAGCGAGAAGGAACAGCGCAGCGGCCCTGCCGCGCCATAGCTACCGGATCAGGTACTGGGGGGAAAGGCTTTGCCTTCTCTCCCTCTGTTCCTCCGCCCCCCAGTTCTCTCTCTCTCCCTCTCTCTCTCTCTCTCTCTCTCTCTCTCTCTCTCTCTCTCGCTCTCCTCCTCCCTTCTCAGTCTAAGTCTACTTCCGGGTTCTCCTACGGGACTACTATAAGTATGAAAGATGGTTACGAATTCTGATAACATTGGAGACAGCGACATTGGGACTATAGGTTGAGGACTACTTGTGGGATCCGATTTCATCTGCCTCTGGAGATGTACTTGACATTGTGAGATCGATATCTGAGACATTGTGGGACACTGTATCCACGACATTTCGGGCTTTCGCCACCTCTGACATTTCAAGATACTATCTTTGGATGATCTCAGACCCTGGCCTTTCGTCTATGTCCAAGGCCAGAGCTTTCACACCCCTGATGAATGATTGAGAGTGTTCGATGGCAGTCCGAGTCAGGTCCGAGTCAGTCCATGTATCTCAAGTTTTCCGCTGTATTTGTATTTGTATTTACTCTGTATTATCTGGTCGGTTCTGGGAATCTGCGCCATACTTATGACTGTGTTTCAGTGTCCCACAATGTCTCAGATATCGATCTCACAATGTCAAGTATGGCGCAGATTCCCAGAACCGACCAGATAATACAGAGTAAATACAAATACAAATACAGCGAAAGCCCGAAATGTCGTGGATACAGTGTCCCACAATGTCTCAGATATCGATCTCACAATGTCAAGTACATCTCCAGAGGCAGATGAAATCGGATCCCACAAGTAGTCCTCAACCTATAGTCCCAATCCGAGTCAGTCCATGTATCTCAAGTCTTCCGCTGTATTTGTATTTGTATTTACTCTGTATTATCTGGTCGGTTCTGGGAATCTGCGCCATACTTATGACTGTGTTTCATGAGTATGCAACACTCCTCTCCCTGTGTCCACCTGGATCTGTTCCTCTTCTCTCTCTCTCTGTACCTGGATCTGTCTCTCTTCTCCTCTGTGTGTGTGGTGTGTGTGTGTGTGTGTGTGTGTGTGTGTGTGTGTGTGTGTGTGTGTGTGTCTGTCTGTCTGTCTGTTTGTTAGTGTCCCTCCCCACACACAATCCTCACGAGTTGCTGAAAGTCTGATGACAGTCATGCTTTTTCTGTTGAGTCTTGTGCAGCAAAGATGACAATACACTCAGACATGTTGGTTCATCTTGCATTGTTTGTAAATTAATTGTTTGTCGGGATTGTACAGTCATTTAATGTTACTTCATCATTCGGAAACACGATAGTTATCATGATGCAGGTGAGCTGCGGTCTATCAAAATTCCCACGCACGGTTTACCATGCCTTCTTCTTCTGCAGATTGTCCTCCCCTGCTGCAGTCATGGTTCCTTACTGTTCTGCCGGCCTTAGGCCATCATGCTTGAATGCACGTGAAATAATTCTCTCTAGCTGTCAAACAATATCCTCATACATCACCTTCAAACTTTGTTGTGTCCTCGTCCATTTGTGATCCCACACCCACCTTACTCCCTCTCTTGGTCGGTGCATCATTGACCACACTTGTGTTTGACGCGGGTGATCTGACATTGGGCAATTTTGTCTAATCTTATCTGCTGTGTCCTGGCAGAGATATCAAGTGTGCAAACGTGTTGGTGGGTCACAATGGTGTTGTGAAGCTTGCCGACTTTGGGATGGCTCGTGTGGTATGGTAGCTCATTCCTTTGTTTCCTTTCCATTTTTTGTGTTTTGTGTTGTGCTGTAGTGGACAATGAATACTGTCATGTTTGGCAATAATTAAGTTGTGTACAAATGAGCCACCTGATGAGGTACATGTGGCTTTTTTTTTGTTTCCCCATGCAAATGAGGTAGAGTTATTCTTCTCCTTGTCCTAGAGAGTTTCAAGTGCACTGCCATGTGTTGAACTTGTAACTCGTTGGTCTAGCAACTGTTGGTGGGTGTCTTATTGAGCTCCACAATGACGCCAGTTCTGTTCCTGCTAAATCTTCTTATGTTCTTGAACAACCAGTGATTCTGAGGCTGGTTTTCGTGATGTGGATTAGTATTGTTATCCAGAAATAGACTAACCGACAAGGCACAAATGTTTTTGGTTTTGGTTTGTGTGCTGCCAGCCAAACAGATCTTGTTGGTGGAGCCCCTGTAGACGAGGCCATGTTGGAACGAAATTGCTGGGGAATGTACTGGAGATTGAGTTTTCTTACTTTCTTCTTCTTCTTCTTCTTCTTCTTCTTCTTCTTCTTCTTCTTCTTCTTCTTCTTCGTCGCCGTCGCCGTCGTCGTCGTCTTCTTCTTCTTCTTCTTCTTCTGTCTTTTTGGTCATTGTTGGGGACAACGAAAAGGTGCAGACTGATAAGGTGTGATTGTGCATGCAAAGAAGAGCTGTTCATGGACGGAAAGTTGAGTTAGGGGAACCTGAGAAATTGATCGGACTTGTGTTCTGTTGCATTTACATTACAATGGAAGAACTGTTGAAATCGTGGGGCATACCTGCGTGGTGACTGAATGGTACACATATTGACCTGCTTTATCAACTACATTCTTTTAAAGCTCCTAGGGTCACGACCAGGCTGTGCCCCTCTGTGAAATGGGCCGTCCGATAAGCAGTGCGTTTTCTGGCATCTATCAATGGTGTGCCGGAATACGTGACTGACAATGCGGTGGCCATTGAAAACTACAGGCCGCGCGCGACTAGGCGTACCATTGTACGCATTGTACGCGAGGTGTGCCCACGTACTATGGGTACCCCTGCGTTGTATGCGCGTGTACTATGCAGTTTACCCACAAAAAATTCTTTTTTTCCTTTCGTTGTAGGTCGGGGTCGCCGCGGCGGCTATGGCGGTCGGACCCGTGAACCCCTCCAGGGTGTACAAAGGCCCTGAAAGCCCCTTTAAACTCTCTTATACCCCCATGAAAGTCCCCTAATAGGCTAGTATAACCCCAACCGCGCTCTAACCAGCACAGAAATGCACGAGGAACTGATGAAGTAAGAAAACAAATCTACGAAATCTTACGCAACTACTGTGGACTGAAGTACATATCCTAAGCAAGAATGTTGTGAAGTAATTGCAGTGTCTGCTGGTCGTCCAAAATGTAGGTCACGTCCGCCACAAAAAGATACGAATCCTGAGACCATAATACAGCGACGTCAACATCAGTGTGCGTCGCTCCCTCGTGGCCTGCCTAGATCGGGGGGCTTCCTAGGCCGCCTCCTCCCTCTGCTGGCACTCTCTCCTCTCCCTTGTGCGCTCGCGTGTCCTACTGGACGGTATGATGCACACTCTCGCGGTGGGTCGTCGCCATCGTGCACAACATGCACACCGCCACGAACCTCCATGCACGATGCGATGTCCATTATCCACCCTCCGTCTGAGGGACGACGACATACATAGCCTATGTATCCCCTGCGGTCATGACCGCGGGGTCAACTCGGATTGCGGTCGGGATCCCGACCGCAGGCCACGGACCGGGTGACTAGGCGCGATCAAGAAATTTCCAACTGCTGTGGGGTTGTGGGGTTTGAAAAGCCCTACTACCCCAATAGACAAAAAAAAAAAAGGGTTGTGGGGTTTCAAAAGCCCTACTACCCCTTTTTTTTGTTTTTGGATTTCGGCGTTTTTGCAAGGAAAATGACCAATAGCGAGATGACAGAATCCAGATAACACGATCACATTGAAAGCCAGATAGTCTCACAGTGCCCAGAAAGCAGCATTGCACCAATGTTACACCAATGGAGAATCGAAACACTGAAACCAAATGTCAATGAGAGCTTACTCTCGTCATCACCAACATAAGAGTCCAGGCCCTTCCCCCTACGTGGCGTTCGGTGCCCAGACTACTCCCCACACAGCTACTATCTGCGTATGAATTGACAATGCAACTGTTGACGTCAACAGCCACCCAAGTACATGAAGATATCACCCAATGCAGACCATGCCAATACCAGGTATGAGCCCTCACATCCTCATCCTCATCTCTCTCTCTCTCTCTCTCTCTCTCTCTCTCTCTCTCTCTCTCTCTCTCTCTCTCTCTCTCTCTCTCTNCTCTCTCTCTCTCTCTCTCTCTCTCTCTCTCTCTCTCTCTCTCTCTCTCTCTCTCTCTCTCTCTCTCTCTCTCTCTCTCTCATCTTTCTCCCTTGTCTTCCCTCTATGCACCCGAAGACCACCACTGCGCCTTGTTGTTTGTCCAAGCCCAGCCAGTGATTGAAGCTGGGCTATGGCGCTGCCCTCAGCGGCGCCCTTCTTCCCACACGGCCACACGTGCACAGCACCTTGCCCCAGCGCTAGCAGCAGCTTGTGAGTGTCCACTCCAGCAGCGCTGCCGCAAACTGGCAAGTGCCAGGCAGCGAACTCTTTCCTATATGGAAAGAGTCTGCCCTGGCCTGCGGCCTGGCTGGGCTGGGCCTGCACCCAGAAGCTTCCGGAAGGCTCCAGGTAGCTGGGCCTCTGCTGCTGCTGCTGGGCCTTCTTCAGTTACGATTCCCAGGTGTATATTGCTGCAAATGTGGCCCAGGGACTGCCTTTCAGAAAAGGCCTAGAAGGCCATGGAAAGTATTTGCTGCTCGGGACCTGGGTTCCCTCAACCAACTGACGCGACATTTAGCCCCAAATACGAAATTGACAGCATTAGGCCTCTCGTGATTTGTTAGGCCCACCTGCACTTAGGGCGGGCACACTTTCGTAAGGGGCCCATCAGGCCTGCTGAGGAGCCAAATCCTCGCATTCCCTCCTCGTTTACTTCGGTAGTCTCCTAAGAAGTCCTTTAATCTGCAGGCATCTTTCCCTTGAGTCCTCTTTAATAGCCCGCAATCACTTGGGGAGCTGTTTCCTGGGTAAACCAGCGATCTTCATTGGGATGCATCCTTGGCTTTGGAGGTCGGACTCTACCGGGAGGTTTAGGCACTGGCATCACCCGGTGTTCCACGATTTCCCCAAATATGTCTAGGACCTCCCAGGGACCGAAATGCTGAGGCATTAATTGTCCTGAAATTCCCAACTCTTGACCCAGTTCAGACGACTTAACCCAGACTCTGTCCCCTACCTGAAAATTAGAAGGCGGTCTACATTTGTTCTTAGATGCAATCACATCATCCTAAGACTTCCTAATATGTTCAACAGCCTGCTGCCGCATCTGTTCATACTTGATAGCAAACTCTATGTTGCCGGTGTTGCAGTCGGCTGCTTCTCATGTAGCAGCAGTTATGGGCTTCCAACCAAGATGCAGTTGGTTGGGAGTCGTACCAGTAGTGCTGTGCACAACGTTGTTGTATAGGCTGGTGATGAGAGGTAATTTCTCGTCCTGACTTGGCTTGATGTAATGCCGTAGCAGGTGCTGCACTACTCGGTTCATGTGTTCCGCCTGGCCATTTGACTCAGGGGGATTTCCCGATGTCATCTGCAGTCGGGTGCCCATCTGTTGGGCAGTATTTTACCACAGTTCGCTAGTGAAGCGAACGTCCCTATCACTAACAATGGACTCGGGCAAACCAAAGTCCCGTACCCTGTTATCCAAAAACATCTTAATAACATAGTTAGTTTTGTTGTTTCTGGCATAGCGATTAGTCTAGCATACTTGGAAAATCGGTCCACTATAACAAAGATGTGTCTCTTTCTGATCCTGCTGGTCACCAAGGTATCCATGAAGTCCATGGACACACCTTGACCGGGACCTTCAGGGATCGACAAGGGCTTGATAAGCCCAAATGGAGCCGAAGTCCTTGGTTTGTCCCATTAGCAAACCTAGCAAGTTTTAACATACTTTTTTGCATCTTGCATCATAGAAGGCCACCAAAATCTTTGCATTGGGTTAGCTGATGTCCTTTTGAACCGAAGTGACCAGTTGCATCATGTTTCTCGCCTAAAAACAAACTACGCAAAGACTCCCTATCTGGAACACACAATCTTTTATTCCTAGCCTTCTCAAGGAACAACAAAGCCATTGACCTTCGTAAATTCGTCAGAGGTGACGTTGTCTTTAGCCTCTAACGTACGGATGATTTCTCACATAACTATGTCTTCCCGATAGGCTTCCACCAAAGATCGAGTTACATCTTCAGATATCCCAAACTCAGCTCGCCCAGATAGTCTGCCCTTCGTGATAGTGCATCAGCCACTTTATTGTACTCTCCTTTGAGAGGATCAAGTTTGAAATCGTACGTATCGACAACTTGAATCCATCTCTTGAGTGTGTCTGAGAGTACCGGTTGTGTCTTAATCCAGCGCAAGGTCTCATGGTCAGATCTCACATAGAAGAATCTGCCTAGGAGATACGGTGTCTCTCCTTTGAGAGGATCAAGTTCGAAATCGTACGTATCGACAACTTGAATACATCTAGTGTGTCTGAGAGTACCGGCTGTGTCTTAATCCAGCGTAAGGTCTCATGGTCAGATCTCACATAGAAGAATCTGCCTAGGCGATACGGTGTCTCAAGTGGACTGTGCTAACTTTTGAGAGGGCATCGTTTTGCTCATGTACTCGATGGGCCTCAACATTTCCCCCTCCTTTTGCGTAAGGACCACACCAATGCAGTATTGGTTGGCGCCAGTGGTCACCACAAAGGGTTGCTCAGGATCAGGTAGTTTTACTTCGTAGTGTGTTAGTGCATACTTCAATTTCTTGAAGGCTGCCTCACACTCTTTTGTCCAGTCCCAAGGGGTGTCAAGGCGTGTGAGGTCAGTTAATGGGGAGGCT